TATATATATATATATATATATATATATAGAATTGCCATTAATTGTGTTTTATGCATGAGACAACTTTATACATTAGATACAGATCCGACACAACAGACTGCTAGTTCGTGTGTATTTAGAGACGCGATTTTAAACACATGGATATCACGTTAGATGCATATATATACACACACGCACACACACATATAGGTCACTTCCACTTCCTTCGTCCGAAGATGCCGTGTTTTCCACGTTTGCCTCCGAAGATGCCGTGCTTCCCACGCTTGTACTTTCCGAACATGTGCTTCCCGCGCTTGTACTTTCCGTGGTGGTATCCGCCGCCGTGTGCCACGTGGTGGGCCCCAAAAGCGGCCAGCTCCTGCGATCATTCCCCCGACTCCTCCTCCATGCCCTAACGCATTTGTTTTCGGACCAGTGACGTTATATTCACATCTTAAAACTGGCAAATTATGGTAATGATAATCAATCTATTGATTATATATATATATATATCATATTATTCATATTATATGCTTATTTTATAGATCATATATATATAAACATGTAACATGACTAGGTGGTGTGACCAAGAACGCACGTCTCTACGTGAAATGTGAAAAAAGGATTTTGAACATCAATTAAAAAATCTTGTTCCCTTGAAATATCAAATCCCATTGGTTATAATTATATCGCACGCACATGCGCACACACACGTACACATACATACATACATACATATATATACACACACACACAAAACAAAGATGAGAAAAATACATAATGTGCATACCGGGATGGGCGTGAGGGCCGGGGTAACCGGCCGGAGGGTAGGGACCGTGAGGGGGATAGCCGTGAGGGGCCGGAGGATAACCGTACGGTCCGGCGGGGTATGCACCCGGCGGCGGCGGAGGATAATTTCCCGGCGGTGGAGGATAGTTTCCCGGCGGATATCCTTGATGGTGATGGTGATGATGTGAAAACAGTCCCTTGTCTTGTTCATGATGCTTGTCTTTTCCCATTATTATTTTTCTCCTTTAATTATTTATCTGAATCACCCTTCAAAATCATCGTCAATGGCTGCGGATTCTCTCAGTTATATATAAAACAAGAAAAAGAAAAAGAATATATATATTCATGCATTTCTATGTATAACTTAAATGCTTATCATATATATATATATATATATATAATACAAGAACTCTAACCAAAGGAGTAAACACTTACGCCCTACATGTCGTACGTATAAATCTATGCATGGAGCAAAATTACGTATCTAACAATCTATATAGACGCATATATATATATATATCTTTGAAACCGTATTTGTTTGGTTCATATCGATCATTTCAATGAATTTAAAGCCGAGATCTATACTTGAGAATTCACGTATTTATGGGGTTTCCAACACAAATATTGGATCTAAACGGATGAAATTAGAGAGCTAAACTATAATTTATAACGAAGAAAAACCCACGACCAATATGCAAGAACCAGAACAAGATCATTGATCATAACTTTAAACGTATAAATGTACGTATACATGTACGACTGATTAGCTAGGGATATCGAGATAAGATCGTAAAAAAGAAATACCTATTCAAATCTCTGAGACAGGATCGTCGTGGCTGTCGGAGATTTAAGTCTTGGATCAAGATAGAGAGAGGATAAACAATATCATTACGTACACAAATATATAGTACAATAGCACGCATATATACATACGCGTATATATGTATATATACGTACGTGTGGGCATTTGCGAAAATGGCTCCGGGCGAGTGGTTCGATGCGAAACGGACGCGTCAAGGTATTCTCGTGACAGCAAAGCCCCGGCTTGGGTTCACGACACGTGGCGTCTTTGATTTTCTAGTCGTCCGATATAATTTGCCGACAGTTGATAGAAAACCCTACGCGTTACACATGAATCTTCATGAGATTTTCAATTTACAGTTAATTATGTTTTACAAGGTTTATCGGATTTTGTTAATTATCTAAATTTCAAAATTCGAAGTCATTTATATGCGTTGCATCCTGATATACGGGTGGCCAGGTTTCGATTATTTTGATTATAACAAAAATTACAAATCATTCAATTTTATATCAATTTCGATCCGAAGTTAAATAATACATACTTATAATCGAATTGAATACAATTTAAAAATTAAATGATTATGTTTTCCTTAAAACCGAAAAAATGAGACCGAATTGACTAAAAAATAATCAAAAAATTTAAAACTTTATTTGAAAAATAAACATTTTATCAATAAAACCGGTATTATAAAAAAAAACCCCTTATTTTAGAGTATATCTTTCTACAATTTAATTTAAAAGATCTAAAGTTAGAGATTTATCAATCGGTAATGTTGCTCCAATACCCAACCACATGGCAATACCAATAAAAAGACGGCCTTTAATTTGTTCTCCAATTTTGATATAATCAACATACCCTTTTTCTTTTATTTATATATATAGACAAATTATATATTAATATATAAATATGAATTAAATTAGATTATTTAATTATTTAATTTTATAATTTTAATTAGCTTTTTATTTGATTGTATCGAAAGCCCTAATGAATTGAGATTTCTCTATTTGGCCAAGTCATTTGTAAAGGTTTCTCGTCTCGATGAGTTTACAAATGTATAATGGCATAAAATGCTTATTCAAAACTCTAACAAGCAAAACCCCAGAAATATCCCATTACCAAATTATAACCAAAACTGAAATGCTGAAGCAACAAAGAAAAGAAACAGAACCACTGAAGAACAAAAAGGATCAAACTTTCTTAACAAAGATCATCAGATTTGGCCTGACATTAGCTTGACAATCTCGGGAATCCCGATTTTGTCTTTTCCAGACAACAAGTCCTTCAGCTTCTCCTCGGTGAAAGCACCCTTCTTCATTCCTCGTCCCTGTAAAGTGTGAACGACAACAACAAAGATCGGACATTTTCTTCGCTTTTCTTAGAGGAATTTCATCGAATATGTGGTGCGCGTGTTAAAGAACGCAGGTTCCTTACAGACTACCCACCTTTGAAACTACGATTTCAGACAATGGGTATGCAAATTTCATGATCAAAGAGAAAAATCTCTGCAGCTAGGAATGATTTGCATGTCCGAGAATTACCTGACCACGGTAGAGTTTCACGAACTTGTACACAAGCACGTCCAATTCGGCTCGCTTGGGCGCTGGAATGCC